ATCATAGCTTTCCTTCTAAGGAACGTCTTTTAATTTCACAGCAGCATTGCAGTCTGCTGCAGCGATCTTTGAGCCCAAGAACACGAAATCTGAAACTCCTTCTATTTCTTCTTCCTCTATTTGCCAGGAAATGATAGGACCAGTTGCTAAGATCTTAGTTTTTTTTTTTTAATATTTTTTTTTGTGTTAAGCTTCAACACAGCTTTTACAGTCTCTTCTTTCACCCTCATTGAGAGGCTTCTTAATTCCTTTTCACTTTCTGCCATCTGAGTGATATCATCTGCATATATGAGATTGTTGATATTTCCAGATTTTGATTCATTCAGCCTGACATTTCACATGATATACTCTGCATATAAGTTAAATAAAAAGGTGACAACATACAGCCTTGTCATACTCCTTTCCCAATCTTAAACCAATCAGTTGTTCCATGTCCAGTTATAACTGTTGCTTCTTGGCTTGCATACTAGTTCCTTAGGAGACAAGTAAGATGATCTGGTACTCCCATCTCTTCCAACACTTGCCACGTTTTGTTGTGAGCCACACAGTCAAAGGTTTTAGTATGGTCAATAAAGTAGAAGTAGATGTTTTTCTGGAACTCTCTTGCTGTCTCCATCATCCAGTCAATGTTGGCAATTTGGTCTCTAGTTCCTCTGCCTCTTTTCAAAAAGCAGCCTGCTCTTCTGGTAGTTCTCGGTTCACATATTGCTGAAGCCTCGCTTGTAGAATCTTAAGCATAACCTTGCTGGCATGTGAAATGGATGCAATTGTTTGGTAATTTGAACATTCCTTGTCGTTGCCCTTCTTTAGGATTGGGACATAAACTGATCTCTTCCAATCCAATTGCCACTGTTGTGTTTTCTAGATTTGCTGGCATATTGAATGTGGCACTTTAACAGCATCATCTTATAGGATTTTAAATAGTTCAGCTGGCATTCCATCACCTCCAATAGCCTTAAAAGGTAGTTGGTGATATACAAGAATGGAACTCAGGAAAGAAGTTAGCGATGCTTCCTAAAGCCCACTTAACTTCATTCTCTAGGATGTCTGGCTCTAGAGCATTGGTGATGTTAAGATCTTTCCTGTATAGTTATTTTGTGTATTCTTGCCACCTTTTCTTAATCTCTTTTGCTTCTGTTAAATCCCTACCATTTTTGTCTTTTAGTACACCCATTTTTGCATGAAACTTCCCCTTTTTTGAAGAGATCTCTTGTCTTTCCCATTCTATTGTTTTCTTCTATTTCTTTGCATTGCTCACTTAAGAAAAACTTCTTATCTCTCCTTGCTATTTCCCTATTGCTTTCCTTCTTTCCTCAGCTATTTCTAAAGCCTCACTAGACAGCCATTTTGCTTTCTTGCCCTTCTTTTTCTTTGGAATGCTTTTTGTTGCTGCTTTTGGTACAATATTGTAGACCTCTGACAAAAGGTGATCCATTGGAGAAAGAAATGGCTAACCACTCATATCTTTGCCAAAAAATTTCTATGTTCAGCACTACAATGATAAAAAATATGACATCGGAAGATTGAAAGGTGTCCAGTATGCTACTGGGGAAGATCAGAGGACAACTACAAGTAGCTCCAGTACTAATGAAGCGACTGGGTCAGAGCCAAAAGGAAGGTCAGCTACAGATGCATCTGATGACAGAAGGAAAATCTGATGCTGTAAATATTGCATAGGAACCTGGAATATAAGACCTATGAACCAAGTTGGATATCGTCAAATAGGAGATAGAAAGATTAAACATTGATATCTTGGGTGTCAGTGAACTTAAATGGATGGGAATGGGCAAATTTAATTCTGGTGATCATTACATATACTACTGTAGGCAAGAATCCCTTAAAAGAAATGGAGTAACCCTCATAGTTAATAAAAGGGTAAGAAAAGCAGTAGCAAGGTATCATCTCAAAAATGACCAAATGATATCTGTTCAGATCCAAGGTAAACATTATAGCAATGAAAGTCTGTGCTGTAGTCACTGATGCCAAAGTTGATCAGTTCTATGAAGATCTACAACACTTTTTAGAAATAACACCAAAAAAAAGATATCACATTCATCATAGGGGATTGGAATGCTAAAATAGGAAATGAAAAGCTAATTGGAATAATAGGCAAGTTTGACCTTAGAGTACAAAATGAAGCAGGGTAGAGACTAATAGTTTTGTTAAGACACCTCACTGGTCATAACAAACACTTTTTTCCAACCAATGTGTTGAGTGGCCAAGGCCACTTGATCAATATAGAAATCAGATTGGTTACCTTATACTTTGCAGCCAAAGGTGGAGAAGTTCTATATAGTCAGTTAAAACAGGACTTAGAGCTGACTGTGGCTCAGATCATGAGCTTCTTATTGCAAAATTCAGACCTAAATTGAAGAAAGTAGGGAACACCATCAGACCATAAAGGTATGACTTAAATATTATCACATGAATATGAAGTGAAGATGATGAATAGATTTAAGAGATTAGATCTGGAAGACAGAGTGCCTGAAGAATTATGAACAGAGGTTTGCAATATTATACAGGAGGAAGCAACAAAAAACATTCCAAAGAAAAAAAGAAGAGCAAGAAAGCAAAATGGCTGTCTGAGGAAGCTTTACAAATGTAGTTCACACAGATGCCAAATTAATTTTCTTTAATCATAAGCCTGACAATGTCACTTTCCTTCCTCCCCCCTTCCTCCCACTCAATAAATTCCAGTGGCTCTCTGTTACCTCTAGAATTAAATAGAATCACTGTTGGTATTTAAAGTCCGATCCTTTCTTGCCTTTCTCATCTTATTATCCACTATATAGTGCCCATATTGGCTGTTCTTCGCACATAATACTTTCCTCCTCTCTGTCCTGGCTGTCCCTCATGCCTGGAAGATCCTTCCTCCTTATTTCCACCTTTTAGAATCCCTGGCTTTCTTTAAGACCCAAAGGTAGGGCTGTTTTTGCTTTTTCTTCAGGGTACCAATGTACCAATGTACAGGTACATTGCTTGATACATAGCAAGGACTTCACAAATTCTTTTTGATTTCTTTATATGAGATCTTTCCTTCCGTCTTTTGACTTTTTTGGAGTATTTGTTTAGTCAGAAGATAAGGATGTGAAGAGGGTAGTGACTTCTAACATTGACTATTTCTGTTATTTATTGTTTGTACCACTTTGATTGAATCTCCTTATTTTACAGATGGGGAAACAATCCTGAGAAGTGATTTGTTGTTAACTAGATCACACAGGTAGCAGGGCTGGGAATTGGACCTAGGTCTTCTCCAATCCAGTACTTTTGTTTTTGGCTAGACAATGGGGTTAAGTGACTTGCCCAGGGTCACACAGCTAGTAGCATTATGTGTCTGAGGCCGGATTTGAACTCAGGTCCTCCTGAATCCAGGGACAGTGCTCTATCCACTGAGCCACCTAGCTGCCCCCCAGTGCAGTACTTTTTGCATCATTTCAGTGCCTCTCACACAAGGTGCTTCCGAGTGGGAGTTGTCTACTGGGGCAATGAAGGTAGGTGGTGCCTTGGGAGATTTTGTTTTTCTATCAAGAGTGCTTGTTTTAAGCATCTCTTTGGAGCTTGAAGCACAGAATCAAGCACAACAATTAAGTTAGGTTATTGTTTCTACTCCAAGAACGGCAAGTTTGGAAGGAGAGAGTTTAAAATAGATGCTGTGGGGGGAAAAAACTGGAAAGTTAGATCTGAGGCCTTGAATACCAGGCTGGGGAATTTGTTTTATATTTGACACTGGGTTTAGAGTCAGAAGATGTGGGTTTGCAGTTATCACAGGATTTGGAGTTAACAGGGACCTTGGAGGTCATCTAGTTCAATTCCATTTTATAGATGAAGAAACTGGAATCCAAGAAATATTAAACGACTTGCTTAGGTTCTCACCTAAGTAGTAAGTAGCAAGACTGGGATTTAAACCAAGTCTTCCAACTCAAAACTTAGTTCTTATTCCACTATAATAAGCTGCTTCTTCAATTAGCTACGTAGTAGCTACGTGATCTTGGGTTAAGAGGTCCCCTCTTTCTCCAGCTATAAAAGGGGGATGACAGAAATACTTGCATGCTAATCAGCTGTTGAGAGGTAGCTTTTATCATCTTTATTATGCTTAGATTGTAAGCTCTTCTGTCAGATTGTAAGCTCTCCTACCAAGTACTACAAGTCTTATCCTCATCTTACCGATGAGATAATTGAGACTTAGAGAATTAAGTGATTTACAGCTATTAATTGTCAAAGGCAGAATTCCAAACCAGGGCTTCCTAAGAGTCCCGCCCCTCTATTCGGTGCACCAAGCTAAATGTTTGCTGAATTGCACGACTGCTAATTATTATTATTTGTCAGGCAATGGGGAGCCGTACAAGGCGCTCAGCAAATGTTTGCTAACTAAAAGTCAGTCCTATGCTGCTGTCGGAGCCCCACGTGTTCTCACAAGTATAGTAATTCTAGCACCCTTGGCTCCCAGATGCCTTGTACTTTTCACAACCCCTCGCCTCTTCCAAGGTAGTTCGTTACTATGGTAACTGTGTCCGGGCGGAAGTGGCTCAGAATATAGACTGGCATTACTCAGATGACGCTAACTGGCATTACTCAGATGACGCTACAGCCAGCTGCACGTGACAGGGGAGACCCAGGGCGCTCCTCCTCCGACCCCTTCAGTTCTCGCCTCTCTCTCCCCTTCGCATCGATCGACGGAGACTTGGACCAATAAGCCAACAGCTTCTGTCACGAGGCTCTGCCCTCGCGGGAGGCCGCAGACCAGTCAAAATCCGCTCCCCCGGCTTCAGTCAGTTCGACCGACGCAATTTAGGCCACTCAGCGGGTCCCCAGCTTCCTTTCCCCGCCCCGCTTCCCGGTCCTCCCCGGGAATGATGGACGGGACATCTTTCCAATAGCACCGGGTTGAGGCTGCTTACGGTCCCGCCCCCTGTGGAGCGGGGCCAATGAGCGCCCTGGGTCTCGGCAGCGGCCGGCCCGGGAGAGAGGTTTTGCACTGCGGTAATATGACCCTTCCGTGAGGAGCTGTAGAGGCGGCCCGCGGAGGGATTGTCCGCTCGCCTTCGGTGGTGCCGGGAGTTCCGAGAGACCCAGCGCGCCAGAGGAAGAGCGGGAGGAGAGGAGGCGGAGGAGGCGGAGGAAACGGCGCGGGGCGCCGATGCGGGAGAAGCGCGGACGCCACCGCGGGGCAGCCCCGAGCTCGCGATGAGCGGCTCAGCCGCCGCCGCCGCCGTGGTCGCCTTGCCCGGCGCCGGGGTGGTCCCGCTGGCTCCGGGCCCCGCCTCCGCTGCCTCCTCGCGGGCCCTGCATGTGGAGCTACCGTCGCAGCAGGTGAGCGCGGCCGCGCACCGGGCGCCCGTCCCGGGTTGCCTGGGCACCTCCCCGTACGGGGCCCCCGGGGTTCCCCGAGGGCGGCACGGGCGCCTCCCAAGGGCCGCGGAGGCTCTGGCCCCTGGGGTTCCGGGGTCACCCTAGCCTTCCGGACTCCCGACCACTGTCCTTTCTGGGCTCTTCGTCACCCCTCCACTGTCGTCTCTGGACTCTCAGTCACCCCCCCCCAACTTTACAGTTATCTCCCTCCACCTCCCCACCCTGGGCTTTATTGTCACCCGCTTCTGTCACTACTGTCCCTTCTAGATTTCTGGTCATCTCTCTCCTCCCCCTTTCCCCTCTTGGCTCCCCCCTTCTGGTCTTCATAGTCACTCCCCCACCCCCCTTAGTGTCTCTCTTTAAGGCTTCATAGTTGCCCCCACTCCACGCATTGTCTTCTCAAGATTTCGTAATCACCCTTCTTTCGGACCCCCCTCCGTCTCAGTTGTCCTCTTACTGTCCCCCTTAATGCTTCATAGTCATACACATCCTTCCCTCTATTCCCCCAGCCTCGTCCATGTAGGAGGGAGGGTGTGTGTGTGTGTGTGTGTACACTTTCTCCTTGGATACTTCAGGGTGGTGGGATGGTGGGATGGTGATGGTCGTGGTGGTGGTGTTGATGTTCTTTAGAGACCACTTCTCCCCGTGGAGAATTCAGGGTCACCTCCTCCTTATCTCAGAGTCCACTGTTGAATATGACTTCATCATAGTTTTCCTCACAGCTTCTGGGTCATTCTCCCTCCTCTGGGTTTCAGTCCTCTTAGAGTGACCCCTCTCCCTTCTCATTCCCATTATTTAAGGATTCCAAATGATACTTAAGAGCATAAAGATAAAAGGAGGGGGTGCAGGAAGAAAGGAATGAAATGAAAGAGGTGATGAAGACTTCCAGGATGTGAGGAAGGCAGCTTGGTGTAAAATAGCAATCTTTAGCTGTTAGATGGCACTTTGCTTTGCATAGTGAGAGAGATTTGGATTTGAAATCAGGAGAGCCCCCTCTCTGCTGGCTTGTTAGCACTCTGGCCTTTGGGCAAGTCATTCAGTCTCGGTCTGCCTTCATTCTCTCATTTGTAAGGTGAGGGGGTGTGGGACTGAATGATTTCTAAGGTCATTTCCAGTTTCAAGATCCTTAGGGGAAGGGATTGGTGAAAATTGTCAGCTTTTTATGCTGGTGAGGAGTTTGGGAATGAAGGAAAACTCAGAGTAGGATAATAAGGAAACTTAGAGAAAGCTGGCCAAGAAGGTTTGGTATGGCGGGGAGCTTTGAGATTTGGGGTAAGGTAAGGGAGAGAGAAAGGGAAAGAGAGCATTGGTTAACAACCTAGAAGATCTTCCTGAAAACTATTAAGTTTCACTTTTGGAGTGTTGCAAGGGACCTTCAAACAAATTAGACTAAGTTTTGAGGGTTTCTGAAGTTCTTGCAAATGATATTCTGTAATTTTTGGCTGTTTTTTGTATTCATCAAATTCTTGCGATCTTAGTAAAGTGTTGAATGCCATACAAATGCTAAGTATGGCTATAGCATCTTCCATAGGTGTCATCCTTTTGGAATGTTTTGGATGGCTATGGTGAAGACTCCATGAGTTCTTTGCTCTTGGCTTTTACTTAGTATGCTGCAAAGCAAACATGGCTCACCGTCTGGGTTGGAATGCTCAGGTTTCTAGGCTTGGTATGAGACACCTTTTAAAAGGTATTGCTTTTCTGGTTCTCTGCCCACCGACAGCCAGGGCCTCATTCTTTTTGTGCTGGCAGAAAGTATATTGCATTTGATACCCTAAGAGGTGATGCTTGATTTTAAACCTGCCTGTTTATATGCGTTTTTTAAAAAATGTGTAGATTAAAATGATGCCTGACTAAAAGACAATAATAATCTTTAAACTTTTCTAGCCATTACAAAGGCTTAAGTTTTAAACATGTGTTTTAGTCAGTAATATTTTCCTTGCTGTCTTTTGAGTTTACAAAAGTCCTTGCTTTTTCCTTGGTTCAAATTCACATGGAGAGAATCAGACTTCTGGAAGTTGGGTGACTTGCCTACAGGTATGCTGGATAATGAGGAGGGAGAATTAAGTTTCTTCACAGTTATTAGGTCTTCTGACTTCAAGTCCTGTCCTCTTTATTGTCCTAGATGTGTAAAACCTAGGGGTTAATCTCCAAGGTCCCTTTCAGCTCTAACGTTGCGTGCTTCTCTGTATTGGAACTACTCATTCTTCACCTTTTGTTGTAGTGGGGTATGGTCTTACCTATATTCAGATTATGTATGAGTGCCTGATTTGAAATTGTGGAGATTGGAAATTTTTGGGTTAGGTTTATAATTCACCAGTGTTGTAAACTTTTTAAGTTATGTTGATTTAATAAATTATTATATTATAAAAGATATCATAATGTTTTTCACATCCTTCTAGATGGGAACGTAGTAGTGATGAACTTCTGTGTCTTTTCACATATTCTTAAAAGCTCAGCTGAGAACTTTTCCTCTGAACCTCCTTCCTCTTTCTTCAGGAAAGAAAAATGCCAGCCAACTAAATTTGAGAACCCACTATGTGCAGAACTAGGTGAAGAGCTAAATTTCTTAAAAGCAGAGATGAGTCTCATATCTTTTTTTTGGCTAGGCAGTTGGGGTTAAGTGACTTGCTCAAGGTCATACAGCTAGTGTTATATATCTGAGGCCGGATTTGAACTCAGGTCCTCCTGACTTCAGAGCCGGTGCTCCATCCACTTCGCCAACTAGCTTCCCTGTCTCATATCTTTTGACAGGCAGTAAAGTGGTGGGCTTCAGTGAATACTTGAACTACCTTTGAGGATGTTATAGTTGAAAGTGATGAAAACATGTACTAGAAATACAAAACAATTAGCTAACTTTTAGTCACTACTAATAATAGCTCACATTTGTATGATATTTACACTTTACAAAGCACTTTCCTTGCTACAGATATGTGAAATAGCTAGTCCAAGTATTGTTGTTTCCATTCTACAGTGAAATAAAAGAAAGTTAACCTCTAAAATCACTTGTCAGTGGTCACACAGTTAATGGCAGAGCTGGGAATTGAACCCAGGTCTTGTGACTTGAAATAACTTTTCTTTCTTTCTATACATTAGAGGCATTGTTCATAGTAGGTAGAGAGCTCGTCTGCTAGTTCTGGATGCCCTGATTCAAGCCCCCTTCCTGACACACACTAAGTGACCACCTGTTAGTGTCCCAGGCAACTTTCTAAGGCTAAGTTGCAGAAAAGGTGCCCATAGGCCTTGGTAGATCCGCTAGAAGCTTCGCAGATCCAGGCAAAAACAAATTAACAAAAGAATATTCTACATTTGTACAACACTTTAAGTGCTTTTTTTCAGTGTAGGCAATGTAATTCAGTTAACCAATGCCCTTCTTTTATGGAACTTACAGTGTGTGTGGGGGTGGGGATTTGACCATATTCTCATAACTATAATACATAATTGCATAAGGAGGTACCGAGAAAACAATTGGAGAGATAGACTTGGACCTGGAAAGGGACTTAATCACAGTCTCACTGCATGTCAGTGGCAGAGCTAGGATTGGAAGGTAAGGTCTCCTCCTCCCCACCTCCCCTTCCCAGCACAATTTTGGTGGAGGACACCTCACTAATAACAAACCGCTTTTGCTTTTGTCTTTCTTGTTAATCCATAGACGTTTAAGTTAATAATTTGTTAGTTATACTTTCCCTACTGAAGTCCACTGTAGTGCGAGGAATAATATGACTTTTAATATATTATGAGCATGTGATAATACCCTGCCTAATATTATTTGGTTCTGCAAAAACGTGGTATGTCAAACAGTGTTACAGGGTCCTATTCTAAATGGACAGTTGTGTGAATAATGTGCTAAGTAAACATTAAAAACTTCTGTGTGTGCTCATGAAGCTTACAGTATAATGGAGAGGGATAAGATACAAACACAGATAATTTCCACCTTTAGATAGTTCTAATGGGAGGTGTAGAGTGGGACAGAGGATGTTCCTGGCATAAAAGGAAGCATGAGACAAGACACGGAGGTAGGGAAGGACAAAGCATATTTGGGTACTTAGCCCATTTTGGTTGGAGCTTAAGAGCGCATGAAGGATAGTAAAGTGATGTAAGGCCAGAAAAGTAGGATGTCACCAAATTGTGGAGGACCCTGAATGCAAGGCAACAGGATGTGGATTTTACTCCCTAGAGAGTTTCTGAAGGTTTTAAAGGAAGGGAATGATACAGCCTGATTGTGGAAGACAGAGTGAAGTTGGAAAGGGTTGTTGGGGTATTTTTTTGTCATTGTATATAGGTGAATAGTAATGAAAGCCTGTATTAGTGATGGCAGTGGGGATAAATAGGAGGAGAGGGATTTGAGAGAGATTGTGGGTTTATAATTAATAGGACTTGGTAACCATCTGCCCAAGTGATTTTCTTTAAGCGTAGGTCTGACAGTGTTACTCTGCTACTCAATAAACTGCAATAATTCCCTGCTGCCTCTTGAATAAAACATATCAATACCCTTATTTAGCTTTTTAAAGCCTTTTAGAACCTAACCCTAAATTATTTTTCCAGTGAAAATTTCTACTTCCTTTCCCATATCCTGAGATCTAGTTTAACCAGTTTTTTCCTCTCTCTCTCATACCTGATATTTCATCTCCCAATCAGCATGCCTTTGCGCTGGCTGGAATGCATTCCCATCTTATTTCTGCCTTATAGAATTTCTCTTCCTTCAAGACATAGCTCAAGCATTACTTTTTACATATCTTTCCTGACCTGCTCTTCCTCCCTCACTACTGTGTATTTATTTCCTTTATATTTATTTGTTATGTACTTGTTTGTGTATTTGTCTCCCCTATTAGACTTCATGTTTCCTGCCAGTAGGGATTGTTTCATTCTTTGTATCCACAGTGCAGGCATGGTGCATAGTAGATGCTTAATAAAGGTGTTGATTGATTAATTGGATATGAGAGGGTAAGGGTGAGAAAAGAGTC